TTGACTCTTCCCCTCCTTCCAGTCTTCAACATGGCAACCACAGAGATTTTCCTGTAACACAAATCTGAGCATTTCCCTGTCTTGCCTAAAGGCCCTTCCTAACAAGCTGACTTCTGCTTACATCTTTGGCCACATCCCCACAAAAAAAGTTTTGCCCCAAACTGATTTACTTCAGTTCCTCAGACACACCATGATTCTTCACGTTTCTGTGCCATGAACATGCTGCTCCCTTTGGCTGGAATGTCCTTCTGTTGCTTCTTTACAGCTCTGTGTCATGTTTTGGAGGTCTTCCTGAACCTCCCCAGGCCTGAGTTTTCATTATACTTTTATCTTGGTCACTGGTTCTTAAAGTGTAAAAATGAAAATCCTTGGACCTCACTCCAGATCTCTTCAATCAGAAATTCTGGGCATTGGGCCCGTTGATCTGTGTTTTAACAAGCCATCTAGGTGAATCTGAGGTGTGCATGAGTTTAAGAACCACCAATCTTGACACCACAGTGGGTGTAATTGCTCACTGCCATTTCTGTTTCCCTCCCAAGTCTGTAAGCAGCTTGAGGATAATGAGTCTGTCCTATTCCCAATACTCAGGACAGAAAGAGGCAGAGAAGGTGCTCAATAAATATTTGCTAAACAGATTATAAGTCTCCATCCATACCCACACAGTCATAATGACAGAGAAGGTGGCTTTGATCTTAAATCAGATACTACCCTCCTGAGGACAATTAACTATGAAAAGGCACCAAGAAAGCAATGAATACACCAAGTCTCACAGTCACCACTTCTGGATACACACATACAGTATGTGGTCTCAGTAAAGGAGGGCAACAGCAATCAAGATGGCACATACTGTCTCACACACAAGAGAAACATACAGAGTGGGGATTAACACACCACCAGGGAAAGATGCTGGTGTCATCAAATACATGACAACAGTGAAAGAGTAGGGGACAAATAATGCGCATGGCAGGGCTGACCCTGTGGCATGCGTTAAATTCCAACTGATCATAGCCACTGGCGAGATACTGTGTGTGAAGGGACATAGGCCAGGGAAGTTAGCAAGGTAAGGCATAGGGGATGGTTATCTGGGGACATGGAGGCTGTTACCTTCTCTAATATGTGACATTAAGTGATCCTCTCCATAGCAGAAAGGTCCAAGGATTTATAAGCACAATGGAGTGCCAAATGCATTAATGAGCATACAGTTCACAAAATACACTGCCAGTAAAATTAAGAAATAGTATGTGCAACCAGAAACACACATATTATGGCCATGTTACATCAGCATATCATGCGAAAGGTCACATATATGTGCAATGTGAACCATGACTGGGAAAATACATGCAGCAAACAGGTCAATCCGATCACAACATGAGTGTGCGCTAATCAGCTAAGCTACGGGATCCCACATGAAGACACCGCGTGTGATGGGACTGTGGACCTGAGAAACAAAATCAGGTATAATCTTTACAAGCTAAAATAAACATGCAAAAACATAAAATGTGCAAGAAACATGAGACCATGTTATAGCTGCAATATAGGAAGACACACACTTGAGCGTTTCAAGACTGGAGGTGAGACATGGACATAGGACATGAGAATGGACAATTCTGATGGGAATTACCATGTAATTTTTCCAGCCTATGGATAAGCATAGGGATAATCTAGCATCACGCAAGCCATTAACATATCGCAGGCACACAAACTCACTGTGAAAACATGGCCCCCCAAAGGCATCTGTATGTCAGTAAGGATCTAGCAGTGTGAAAGGCCACTGAGAAACAAGAGGTTCTGTGCCTACGTGGAAAAAGATGTCTGAGGGCATTCCTAGGAAGCAAATCTGGGGGTAAGGAGGGCAACAAACCTTCTCTAGGCCACAACCCCCTAGGAGTCGTGTGGGGCCAAAGGGCAGGAAAAGGAACTGGGGAAAGTGTCCGGGAATTCCCTCTCCAGGACTGCCTGTCCACACCCCTATCCCAAATTCACAGGGTCTCCACCTCTCCTCCCTCTTGTGTCTCTTCCATCTTTCCTCTCAGGCTCCCTCTCATTTCTCCAGCAACCCTCTCCCCAGTCGGTCTTTTTTTCCCCAGCAACCCTCTCCCCTCTCCGCCCTCCCAGACCCAATCTCTTCCATCCCCTCCTCCACGTCCCTTTCATCACCCTCCTCCCACCTCCTCCCACCCCCTTCCCGCCCCCACCTCGGTGGGGTGGGGGGCCTGGGGGGCTGGCCCCCTCCCCAGCCAGGCTGCGGCAGCGGTGGTGGCGGGTGGCTGTCTCTGCCTCGGTCGGGGTGTCGGTGCCAAGGGGGCGACAGGATTTGGGGATGTCCTATCCCCGGCCGATGTAGGGGAGGTGAGATTGGGAGGCTGGGCCCATAGCGGTAGTAATGGTAAGGGGTTGTCCCCCCAGCTCCCTCCCTTCCTCCCTCCCTCCGGTCTCTGAGGGCTGGGGCTGCCAATGCCGCTATTCCCCCACCCCTTCCCAACGCCGGCTGGCTTCCGGGGATGGCCAGGAAGTAGGGGGCGGTGATGAGCGGCCTGTTTTGCCAATCGCCTCCCAGGGACCCAGGCATCTCCTCCCGACAAGTACGAGTCTCTTGCTAGCTCCGCCCCACGAGAGCTCGACTGGGCTGCCTTCTCTGCCTCCAGCTGCATTTTTTCTCTCCAGCTCCCTTTTGGCAGTCACGGCTTGTGTGTCCCTTGGTGCTGTATGCCTTCCTTGACCCATTCCTTCTCATTCTCCATCAGCTCTCCTCTTACTTGGTCTCTTTTACTTTTTTTTTTTCTTTCCTTCTTAACTCCCACATTTGCTTATTCTTTCCTACTTACTCCAACACCGTCTCCCATTCAATTTCAGATATTTACCAAGCACCTACTATATGCCAAGCACTGAGTTGTTCCTTTTCTCTTCAGGACTCCATCTCGACGCACCTCGTTCTCCAGCCCTCTTGACTGGTCTCTGCCTTTTGTGCCCCCGGCTATCTCCCAGCAGTCCAGCCTCCTCTCCCTGCCACTGTCCTTCATGTTCTTTTAACCTCAGTACTTTTTCTTTACTAGTTCCTTCCTTCCTATCTGCCTTCTTAATCACCCAAGCTGAGACAACTCCTCTCCCCAACATAGAATCTAGGGGCATCTTTTCTTCCAGTGGAAACTGGGCATTAGGGTTGCTTCCTTTAAAAAAATGAGTAAGAATACTGAATCCTCTGGGATGAGCATACCTCCTTAATTTCTGCAGCCATGTATCTGCTCCCTCTCCAATCCCTGATCCTCTCTTCCCTATACTCCCATTATCCCTTTACCGGGATCATTCCATCACTCCTTCCTTGGTCTCCACCTCTTTCTCACAATAACCTTGTTGCTAAACCTCTACAGGTGTGCTTGAACCTTCACCTCCCTTGCTGTCCTGGCAACTCCCAACTTCCACTTTTCCTCAATTGAGTCACGTGGGCCTTTTATCTGGGTGTTAACAGCCCTCAGGCTACGTCTGCCCCCGCCCTCAGACACACTTTCGCCCGGCACGAGTTTACATGACTTAAGTAATAGAATATAAAGGACAGTGTAGTACGTAGACTGTTACCTAGTTCCGCTCCTTGGGCTACAGTGAGCGTCACTGACTGTAGAAAAGTCCTAAAGTCACACAAAAGGCCCAAGAAGCTCTGAAGTAGCTTGCGGAAGTCCCAGGGGTCTAGCTCTGGAGGAAGACCCTGTTCTCAAAAAGGAAGGGGCGGGCCTAAAAAGGGGTGGGTTTTGCCCATTCTGCACCCACTTAGGGGTGGAACTGGGCCTTTATTGCTTTTAAGGTTTAAAGCAGGACTGAGATCAACTCTGTTCCACTTCAGGTCACATTAAAAAAGGGTGGGCCATCAGTTCTGTAAGTCACCTAGAGAGGGGTGGGCTGAGTCGTCCAGCCGAGGGAGACGGGTTAACACCAGCGCCACAGACCGCTGCTCGCACCACCTAAATGTTGACATAACCTCAGTTCTTCGCCCTTCTTCACTAAGAGGGAGGTTCTACTCTCTACGTTAGCAAAGGAGGCCGAAGCCATTTTGAACCCTGTAACCCCAGTATTTGCTCTTTTCTCTGAGCTCTCTTCTCCTATCTCGGCCAATCATGGGCGAAAGAAATGGCTCAATCATCCGAGAGAGATCACAGCCTAGGACCCGGATGAGGTCGAGCCTAGGCCTTTGAACTCCAAATCCCACCAATTGTAGTACAGTCACCATGGCGACAAGATAGAGGTGCAGGGGGTGGGATCAGGAAATGCTCAGTCCTCATAGGATTAGCTCACCTCTTCCCGCCCCCCCTGCTGCGCACGCGCATTTTCCCCAACCACCATTTTTTTCCCTTAGAGTTATGGCCAATCAATTGCTTTGGAGCCGTACGCTCCAAAGTCCAATAGGAATCCGGACATTCTGTGAAAGAGGAAGCGAAGGAAAGAAAGGGGCTTATAGTGGCGAGGTCTGTGTAGTCCTGAACCAATTGCTTCTGCCCTTTGGCTATGACTGGCAGCTACTCAGACGAATAAAGACTTTCCTGGCCGGGCGACAGCGTGAATAGACTACGACTTCATCTGCCAATAGTCACTATGAAAGGGCAGGACCGCGCAAACCTCTTTCTACCTCCACCCTTTGGGCCAATCTTTTGGAACCCTATATGATTGGCAGGCACTCAGACCAATAGCGGTTAGATATCCCTGAAGCCTGCCCAACGACCGCGGGCAGGAGGCGGCTTCTCCTTTGTTGGGGCGTGTGTGGATGTGTGTTTGAGGGGATTAAGGGGTAAACTGGAGCGAAACAGAACCGACCATGGCCGCCGCGGAGGAGGAGGACGGGGGCTCCGAAGGGCCAAATCGCGAGCGGGGCGGGGCGGGCGCGACCTTCGAATGTAATATATGTCTGGAGACTGCTCGGGAAGCTGTGGTCAGTGTGTGTGGCCACCTGTATTGGTGAGAATCCAGGAGGCGGGCGAAAAGGAATGGACTCAACACCATACTGAGGAGGCTGGGGCGGGGGGACTATATCATCATGCAGAAAATCGGAGGTCCGAGTAGGGGACTTAGGTCTTTTGGGGTATGTGTGGGCGAGAGGGTCACGTCTGTACAGAGGAGACCCGTGGGACAGAGTGTCTTAGTAACTAGGAGTTTCGGCGGATAGTGTTGTTAAGAGGAAGCGGGGCGAGGGGCACTGCACGTACGTATGGGTGAGACCCGAGCCACCTTACCCCAGAGAAATGAGGGGACTTAGCTTTACAGGTGGAAACGAGGTAGACTCAAAGGTTGGTAAGGCATGCATCAGTTGAGTAGGGAGAGACCTAGGAAATGTGGGAACACATTCAGATGACATGGGAGGGAGTGGTATGACAAACATGGGGACAAGGGTACTGTGGAGGGGCAGCCCCCGGAGGTTAAAGAATTGTGGAAATAGGGACTTTATTGGGCCTAGGAGAGAGGAAAGGGAGTAGTAGGGGAAGGTGCTAATAAAGGGGGTTTGGTTTGTGAGTGATGGGGGCAAGGATGGGGCTAGGGCTGAAAGATCTGGAAAGGGCTGCAGAGAACTGGAAACTAAGAAGGGAAGGCATAAGGGTGTGTGTGTGTCTTGGGGGAGAATAGAGAGGAGAGGGTTGAGCATGTTGAGGATGTACGTAGCTTCAGGTGCTGGAAGATAAAAGCAGGAAGGCCAAGTTGGCTGGCATGGTAGAGGTTGCAGAAAATGTGAAAAGAAAAAGCAGGTAAAATTTGGGAAGAGGAGGCAACATGGGACTCTCTGAAGTTGTGTCTGTGTCTTCTCTGTTCTGTAGCTAGTTTGACCTTTTCTTTTTCCCCCCATCCAGTTGGCCCTGTCTTCATCAGGTGCGTACTCAGGCGAGATGAAGAGGGAAATGGGGGAGGTCTGAGGAGCTGGAAGACCCTGCTGTGTACTGGAAACCACTTCGTTTTTTTCCCCCAGTGGCTGGAGACTCGGCCAGAGCGGCAAGAGTGCCCAGTGTGTAAAGCTGGGATCAGCAGAGAGAAGGTTGTACCCCTTTATGGGCGAGGGAGCCAGAAGCCCCAGGACCCCAGGTGAGAGAGAGAGGTGGTGGCGCCGAGGGAAGGTGGGAGGCTTCTGCCCTGGGAGTGGGGTTTGGGAGAGGAGAGGAAAATTTCTTGTTCCTCTCCTCTTCCACAGATTGAAAACTCCGCCCCGTCCCCAGGGCCAGCGACCAGCTCCAGAGAGCAGAGGGGTGAGTCTTGTCTGGTGGTTTCTTTCCTTGCCAAAGACTTGCCCGGTTCTTCTCTGACTTTCTCTGCCTCCCTAGGGATTCCAGCCATTTGGTGATACCGGGGGCTTTCACTTCTCATTTGGTGTTGGTGCTTTTCCCTTTGGCTTTTTCACCACCGTCTTCAATACTCATGAGCCATTCCGGCGGGGTACAGGTAAGAGCCTTCCTCAGCTCCTGCCAGGAGCTCTCCGAGTCCCCTCAGGCCCCCTGCTGGGCTAGAAGTGGATGCTTCTCCCACAGCCTTCCTCTCTCCCACAGGTGTGGATCTGGGACAGGGTCACCCGGCCTCCAGCTGGCAGGACTCTCTCTTCCTGTTTCTCGCCATCTTCTTCTTCTTCTGGCTGCTCAGTATTTGAGCTGAGTCCCCTTCCTGCCCACATCCAGCCAGTGGAGAATCAGTATTGGGGGTCCCTGCTTGACCCTTCCTTACTCCTGGATCCTCCCCGCTAACCCCTCCATTTCTGTGGTTAAGGTCAACCCTGGTCATCTTCCAGGAGTGTGTGGGGAGGTGAAGTGACATCTGTGCATAGACTAGGAGAACCTTCTGCTCTGCGCTGCTCACTTAGTCTCAGAATTCCCCGCTCTGGGAGAGGAGAACAGACTGAAGACAGTGTTTGTTTCTCTTCTCTCGTGATCCTTTGCATTTCCCCAGATTTCTTGATTTGATGTTGAAAGGTGGGCAAGCCTTCCTCTGACTCTCCCTGACTTGCCCCTTGCTAATTTAATTTAATTGTTCTCTCCCCAGTGTCTAATATGTGTTCTGACTCTTAAGTGCTTCCTTTCCTTCACTACATCCTTTATTACAAATTCAATAAACAAGGTGAGATGTATTGATGGGAACTCTGCCCACCTTTGTCCTTCCCCCCTTCCTAGGACAGGAGCATCACCCCAGCTTGACATTGGGTATGGTGTGGGGAAGTGTGGGGGTGAGCGCCTCTCCTTCAAGGCTCTCAGGGGTGTGGGGGGTGAGGAGACACACACAAACACACAAGCAAATGGGGTGAGACTGTCAGATGTTTACTCACACTGTGGGAGGCTCTGGTTGTGGAAGAGAGTGTGGTCAAGTGGGGTACAAGTTACACAGGGGAGAACTGATCTGGGGCAAGAATAGAGTCTGGGAGAAAGAGAAGAAAGCTGATAGATGGGGTTGCTGTGGGTCCCTCAAGGCCCTCCAGCATTGCTCTCTGATGCCTCTGGCTCCTCTGACTGACTCAGCTCTGCTCGCTCCTCCTCCTCCTCCTGGTTTTCTGGGGCCTTCCTGGGGAGGAGAATTGGGAGGAATTCTGCAGGAGGTTTCTGGCACTCTGTCATTCCTCCCTCCACACCCCTCTTGCTGCTTGGAAGCCTCAGGCCTGAGGTGTCCGGCATTCTCCACTCACCTCTCCTCGCCTCGGCATTGCCACTTTTGCCACACGATGATCCCAATAAGCAGGGCAGCTGTCCCCAAGCCTCCCAGGATTCCCAGGGCCAGGGCTAGAGTTCCCAGTGCTGGCCCTCCCACAGAGCCTGTAGGAAGATGAGAAGGTAAGGACCCAGACTCCACCATCCCCCATTCCTTTCTTGTTGGCCTTCCCCCACCCCCCATCATGTTGGGGTCTGTCTGCTTCTCTCTGACATTATCCTACCCCTCACCTGCAGTTGGCCCCTCTTCACCTGTATCTGGAAGACAAAGTGAGAGCAAATCAGAAGGGAAGGCCTTGGTTTGGAAAAGAGCTATTTAGTGGGAGCCCCAGGGCAGTCAGTTCAGAGTGGAGAGGGAACAGGCTGGGCTGCTCTCTTGGTAGGGCTTGGGTAGGGCAGAGGAGGCCTGGGTGTGGGTGCCCTGAGGAGGGGTTGGGTGGCTCTTGGGGACAGTGCCAGCGAATGGGATAGGGAATTAGAGCCTGTACCCTCCCTTAGCCCAGCCCTAGGGTCCCTGAGATTTAGACGTCTCCTCACCAATGATGCTGATGCTGACAGCACGGCTCTCCTGGGGCCCGCGGCTGGGATGGGTGGCCACACAGCTGTAGGTTCCCTGGTCCTGAGGCCCCACCTCAGGGAGGAGCAGCACGGGGCTGGGGGAAAGGGGCAGGGGTATGCCCTGGTGGGGGAGTGGGACAGAAGGCTATTACAGGCCCTGTCCACACATCCCATACTCCTGCCTTTGTCTCCACAGCCTCGGCCACCCTGCTTCTTTCCAGGCTCCTCACTTGGTTCTCTCTCCACAAGCTCCCTGCTCTCCTAGTTGCCAATGATGTATCTACCTCCCAGCACCTTCTCCAGGTCACTCACGTCCTTGATCCAGTGGATTTGAGGTGGGGGCTGGGCAGGGGCCTCACAGGTCAGGGTCACGGTTCCACCAGGAGTGACTGCTCCACCTTCTGGCTCCACCACCAATTGGATCTCCTCTACAGACACAGGTTCTGGGGGTGGGAAGGGGCATGAGGTTGAGAGTCATACCTGTGTGGTCCCAGTGGCCGTTGGCTTGGCCCTCTCTAATGGCAATACTTTGACAATGTGCTCACCGAGCTTGGGGCCCTCACCACCTCTGTGCTCACCCCAGACATTCAGCTGGACAGGGGCTGCTTGTAGGGCTCGATGCCGGGGAAGCCCAGGGCTGAAGCTGCAGGAGAAGGTGGTGTGGGGAGCTCCTCCCCGGGCTGGGGTCACCATGAGCTGTGACTGGAGTGTGAAAAGCCCTGTCTCAGGGTGTCTCCTGGTCTCTTCCTTCACAGACACTCCTATGGTGGGGGAGGACAAGGCAAAACATCCCAGGGTGGGTCAGGGAGAGGGATCAGAAAGAAGGCAGCTAGGAGGGGGGACTTTGGGACTAACCTTTGCCATCAGGTATCAGGGGTTTCCCATCTGAAAGCCAGCTAAGTGTGCCTGCAGGGTAGCTCCCCTTGGACACACACGTTCCCACCTGGGGAAAAAGAAACCTCGTTATCTGAAAATCAGAGACACGTGTGCACAGCTCCCTTCCCCTTCCATCTTCAGGACCACTTCCCACTTTTCCCCTAGTCTTTCATTACCTTACTGGGGACACCAGCCATGAGTTCAGAGGCAGGATCAAGAATTTCTGGCTTCCGAGGAATTTCTGAAGGAGAGAAAGTTCCCATCAGAGGCTGTAGCTTTGAAGATTCTCACGCCTGTGGTGTGGGACTGGGGGCAGCTGAAGTCAGGTTCTCACACCCCAGGTCCAAGGAGTCAAGGGCTAGGGTTGAAGGCTTTTCCTTGCATGAGAGGTGGGCTTTGGAGAAGGCCCTCAAACTCTTACGGTAGACTCGGACTTGGTAGTTGGACTTGGTCTCCTTTCCGTTCCGGCTTGTTGCCCGGCACCGGAAAGAACCCTCGTCCGAGATCTCAACAGCAGGCAGGAGAAGGGAGCCATTGGGGAGGACATGAGCCACGTTATCCCATCCTCCCTGGGAGGACAGGATCTTCCAAGCTTCTGTCCGGCCTGTGTTCTGGGGACAGAGGATAGGGGCCTAAATAGTGTAAGCTCTTTGGGAAAGGACTGATACGGGCGGGGAGCTAGGGATGCCAGTCGTCACTGGTCTCTCTGGAAGTGGGAAGGCTGCAACAGCCCTGCTTACCAGTTTCCATTCCAGCTGCTGGGGTGGTTTCTTGGGGGCCCCTTTACAGTTCAGCACCAGTGGCTTCCCAATCCGGGCTGTGATGTTTTGATCGCCTACCACTGATCCTGGGAGACAGCACCACAGTGGAGGCGCAGGAAGGGAGATGCGGGCTAAGCATACTAGGACAGGATGGGTGAGGGAGCTTGAAAAGCAGTTCCCAGGTTCCAGAAAAGTTTGGGATTTGGAGAGGAGAGGTAGAATGCTTCCTGCAGGGAGGATTGGTACTAGGGGAGTGGCTTACCCCACAGACCAAGGACCAGCACCCAGGCTCCAGCTGCTGCCCCTACCATCCTGCTTTCTTCCCAGGTTCCTGGCTCTGTCTGCCCTTCACTGCTGTGGCCACCGCCCTAGGTGGGGCTGGGGCTTGCACCCTCTCCCCTGCCCCCATCTCCCCGTCCAGTCCTGCCACAGAGAATGCTAGGAATTCCTGCCTCTCTGACAAGGGTCCTTCAGGTACTAGGAGAAACAATTATCACCCCACCCCTGGGCACTGCCAGCCTTTGGGCACTGCTACATCCATGGAGGTGGGGAGCGTACCTCCTAGGACCTCACTTCCTCTCAGGACCTCCAACCTACTCCATTGGTCCACTGAGGGCTGCCTGCTGGACTGGAACCGCATCTCTACTGGTCAAGGTTGCTAGGCAACAGTCAGGCCAGGCTGTTCTTTGTGGACAGGAGGCAAGGGTGGAAGTGGTGGTGAAGCAAAGCTGGGGGGTTCGGGGAGCTAACCATCTGGGCTTAGGAGAAAAAAGTTTTTCTATGGGATTTCTCATGTTTTTGAAAATAATTCTCAACTAAACCCAGGGGGAAAAGAAACTTCTTTATTTAAAACTGCATTTTTCTTCTGTGAAACTACAAGTTTACAAGTGAGGAGAGAACTGCCCCTGGCCCGTGCCTCCCGCCCACCACCCATCACACTCCCAATCTGCCCCCCAATCCTGCTTGGGTCTTTGATGAGAGGAGTTCCTCACTATGACAGTCTTTATAAAATCCTGAGGATGTCTGAGGGGTTCAGATGGTCGGGTTCAGGGCCAAGGATGGGACAGTGATGGTTTTACTTTCTCCCATACCTGGCTTTTTGCAACCTCCCTCCTCTCCCAACCCTCTTGATTTTGGACTGAGGGGGAAAAAAAAAGACATTTCCTTTCTGAGGAAATTGTGGGAGATACATATACATCCACCCCAACCCATAGTTAACATATTTGGCAATAACCCCCTCCCTGTTCTTCCCCCCCAACCTGCAAATAGTTTTAATAAAAAAGATTTAAAAGACGTCATTCACAGGGGAAGGTGGCATTTTCCTCAAAATAGTACTAAGTCCAGCCCTGCCCATGGATTGTGGGAAGAGGGGGATAGATCAGCAGAGCAAAGGCCCTGACTGCCTCCCTACCAGGTACAGCAGCAAGATGCCTGCAGAAGCAAAGAACGTCTAAGTGATTTTCTGGGGACAGGCTCGGTGCCCTGCTAAATGTACTTCCTGATGGACAGGACTGGAGCCAGGTGGGCCTCTTCTCCAGTTCTGTATGCTCTTTATCTTATCATGACCCCTTTGGCTATCACCCCTAATATGGGAAAGCAAGAAATTAAGAAAAAAATCAACATATTTATAAAAACATCTACTTCCCCAAACTAAATAAAAAAGGACCAACAACAGCAACAAAAAATCAAAAAAATACAGATGGATCCCAGGGTTACTTTTTCTTTTCTTAGAAAAAAAAAAAGTTCAACCCCAAAGCCCAGTCAACAATTCCCTAAAGTAGCAGAAACTCCCTCCGAGGTAGATATCTGAGTCAGACACTTGTCCACCGAGCGATTCTATTGGTTTAAGATGAGCTGCGTATGAGGTAATAAAGCCTTCTGGAGGGGGTGGGGAGGCACAGGGGGCGTGGCCAATGTCTTCTGTCCAGAAGTTGTGTCCCAGAGCAGATAAGTGGGGTGAGGGAGGGAGATGGGGAGCCCAGAGAGAGAGAGAGACAGAGACAGAATGGCTGTATGTATATACGAGAAAGAATAGAAAGGGATCTGAAAAATAGGGTTCTGGGTTTGTGTATTTCTGTGTAAGAGAGAAAGGGGGAGAGGAAGAAAAGACTGAAAAGGAAAAAGGAGAAGACAGACTCCACTCTCCCCTTAGGAGATCCCATTCTCTCTGCCATGTAGTCAGCACCCCCAGCACTGGAGAGTCTAGCCGGGGAGGGAATGACCCCATTTGCCCTTCTCTGTCTTGTGCTTCTCCTTTGGGGGTTGTCCTCTGGATGCCTGTGTCCTCTTCAAAAGTTGCCTTGTGAGCCCCCACCCATGTGGCCCTTAGGGGCGAGATCAGTTGGAAGTGTCAGAGTGAACGCTCCCTGGTCCCTCTGTTGGGGATGTCACTGAGGATGGGGTAACAGCCTCCTGCCAGCCGCCATTTGCCTGGAAAAAGAGAGAGATGAAGGGCTCTGGGAAACCCAGTGTGGGGGACAACAGGGCATCAGGTATCCACTCACCCTCATTTCCCTAGGGCTGTACATCTGGCTTCCTCCGAGGTTATCGCCATAGCCCCCTGGCCCCATTGAGTGTCGGAGTGATTCCACCTGCAGATGGCAAAGGAGGGTATGACACAGTGAGAAGCCTGAAAAGAGAAAAGTCTCATATCCTCAAGGAAGGGAAACTGAGACTGGGAAAGCCCTACTTAAGGGGAGATGGGCCACCTGACCTGGGAAGCAGAATAGGAATCTCCGTTGAGCCCGGGCATCCCCAGAAACATGTCTCCGGATCCTGAGAGATTGAAAGAGCCACCAGAGCCTTGGGGGAACAGAGAGAGTGAGAGTTAGGGGAGTGTATCAGAGCGTGTGATGGCAGACAGGAGACTCACCATGGCTCTCCATTTCCAGAAAGCTCTCTTAATTCACTGTGGGGCTGCACCACTGTGTGATTACCCATAAAACACTGCAACACTCAGATGGAGTTTTTGAACCTCCTCTGGCCACTTGCTGGAAGCAAGGCATAAGTGACTTTGCTGGAGTGGCCTCTGTCTCCCAACATCCCCATGTCCTCTCAGCTTGGCCCCTCTCACCCACAGGCCCCCTCTCTGCTAGGATCCCGCCTAGATAGGAAGTGGGAACAAAAGCAGGAAGTGTACAAGACAGCCAGCCAGGGTGGCAGCAGTATCCACCTGCGGAGGAAGGGGGTGTTGGGGAGCTGGTACGGCTGTGGCCCCCCTGGGTGACTGACACGGCAGTCTTGACAGCATAGATGTTTGCCTCCTCTTGGAATTTTCCAATATTTTTCTTATAGCGAATCCGCTTGTTGCCAAACCAGTTGGAGACCTATAGGGGGTTGGGCAGAAAGAAGGGCCAGGTGGATAAGCACCTCAGTAAATGCAATCGGGGAGCTTTTTGCCTGAAAACATCACCTCCCCAAGCTTCCCCCCAGTACCTGAGAGACGGTGATTCCACACTTCTTGGCGAGCTCCTCCTTAGCCTCCTCACTAGGATAAGGGTTACTCAGGTGAGAGTAGAAATACTCATTTAGGACCTCAGTGGCCTGTTTGCTGAAGTTCCGGCGTTTTCTTCTACAGAGAAGGGAGAAGGCTGGTGAAGAGGACGTTGTTGCCCTGGTGGGGCCTCCATGTTGCACAACTCCGGAGGGCGCCACGGTCATGGAGTTCTTAGTTGTGCAACATGGTGGCCCTGTAGCTTGGGGAATGGGTAGGAGCCCAGTGTTGGGGGCTAGCCTGGGTCCCTGGATCCCACCTGGCATCCAGGAAGCGGGAACGCAGGATCATGACAGCCTCGCAGGTGCTCTGCTTGAGCTGCATCTGGATGGCACTGAACTTTCGATGGATGATGCTCACCATGCGCTCCATCTCCTTGGGTGCCACGGGCCGTGTGCGGCTCTGCTCCCTCAGCAGGTTCATGACATGGGTCGTGAACTCGTTACATGCCTGCAGTGGAGCCGCCCTTTGGCCTTAGGGTTCCTCCCATGAACCTCCCCCTCCACCCACTCCAGCCTCCTCTCCTCACCTGCTCATACTTCTCCAGCTCTGAGTGGTAGATATGGCGGATCTGGGCAAGTTTGCTGCGGTAGTCCGAATGCTCGATGGAGTTGTCAGGGGAGACGCCACCCCCCGAGGCTGCAGCGGCTGCAGCCGCTGCTGCTGAGCCACCCCCCTTCTCGGGCCCAGCCACACCCTCTGCCAGAAGCATGTTGTCCAAGCGCATCAGCTGTGGGTCCACAGGCTCCTCCTCTTGGGAGCTTCGAATGCTGAGGCCTACCATGAAGGCGAGTAGACTTCGGGACTCAGGCACCCCATACCATGCTCTCAGCCCTTCAGGTGCCTTTTTGGAGACCCAAGTTTCCAGGCTTTGGTTCCATCCCCAGTCCCCTTGTGCAACCTCCCTGACCCTCACTTTCCTTAGGGCCCAAGATATCAAATTCTTAGCCTAGAGTGAATCAAGAGCTATCAAAACTTAGTCTTACAGTGAACAGGGTTCCACCCCAGAGTTGAGGAATCAGAGGGGGACCGACATACCTGTTTTCTCCTTGATTTCACACAGTACACTAAAGAGAGCAGGCTTCATTCGGTGACAGTTTAGGGCATGTTTCCTTGAGAGGAATGGGAAAGAAAAGTTGAGAAGCTACAGAAATGGCAGGGGGACCATGAGGGTAAGAGAGGGGAGCCCCAGAACATGAAGGGGGATAGGAAACAGGATTGGGGGTGGAATGGAATTGAGGGTTCTTGGGGGATCAGTTCCTAGAGCATGGAGCTGTGGGGGGAGGTACAGGCAGCAGGCAAAGGGCACCAGAGGCAGGCAGGGAGCTGTGGGCGATGGCCTAGATGGCTACAGAGGGGGAGTGTGCAGTGACTACCAAAGTGAGGGCGACTAGGTAGATTTCAGAGGAACAGAGATGGAAGCTGGTAAGAGTCCTGAGATGCCAGAGAGGGGCTGGGATGCTGAGAAGTGGGGAGTTCAGTATAGATGTGTGTGAAGGGTCCTGGGACTGAGCAGGGCAGGAGGCACTGATGTGGCTAGTGTGGGCTGAGCAGGGGTGAAGGGTGGGTGAGGCCCTTGGAGGCTCGGTCATGGGTGGAAAGAAGTGGTAGGAGCTCTGGGGAGGGATGTGGAGGTCCCCAGGTCTGGAGAGGCTGGGGGTGGGCGGAGAGTTAGGGAGAAGACAGCATAGCAGTTTCTTAGTCTGGGAGCCAGAAGGGGGCCCCAGATGGAAGATGTTGCAGGGGAATGTGGGGGTCAATGAGAGGTTGAGGGGTGAGATCATCAGGGGTTCCCCTCTTTGAAGGTTTCAGGGCCCTAGGGGTGAAGGGAGGTTTGAGAAGGTTCACTTATCTCCAGAGTCCCGCCAGTAAGGAGAGGAGAAGAGAGCTGCAGGATTCTGGAGAGGGTCCTGGAGTTGGGAGGGCTCCCAGAAGATGCAGAGCTTGTGAATGGGGCTTCTGGATCTGTGTGGGGTCCCGGGGTGGGGGCACTCACTTGGCCTGGGCCTCGTCCAGGCTCTGGTCGGTGATGGTCATTATCTGCTGCAGAATGTCCCCGATGTCTTGCTTCCCTCGTCCTCCTGGGACCCCCCCACTACCCCCAGTGGGGTCTCCGCCACCGGGAGGCTCCCCAGAGCCCCCAGGCTCCCCACCCACCAATCCCAGTCCCCCCCGGCCCCCGCCTGGAGGGGGCGGCCCCAGCAGCCGCTCGTCCATAGTTGGGGGGGGGCCCTGAGGCCCCCTCCCTGCTCTGCCCCACCCCCTCCTGGTTACTTCCCCCCCCCCAAACTCGCCGGGGCC